TATGCCCAAATAAATCTGTTAGTCTTTAAGGTGCCACCAGACTCCTTGTTGTTTTTTTAAGAATAACCCTGTGCATTTCTATAGTGCTTCTCCTGTCGAGCTCTTTGGGGCAGGGGACTGTCTTTTTTCCTGTGTTTCTCCAGCACTTGGCACAGGGGGATTCTGGTCCATGATTAGGGTTCCTAGGTGCTAGGACAGTACAAATAAAAATAATAATAGAGTGGGAAGGATTCTGTTTTGTTTCCATACACAAAGAGCAAAATGTGCCCTAGAGCTTAAGAGGAAGAGGTAGAGCTGGCTGAAAAACAGATTTTCTGACCCACCAAAAGAAATCAGATATTGGGGCCAAAAGCCAGAATTTCAAAAGTTTTTGCAAAATGAAATGCCGGGAAAAAATTAGGTTCAGGACAATCAAAATGTTTTGTGCCATTTTAAACGTTTTCATTTTTTAAATATAAAATAAATTTAGACATGAAAAATTGTTTTGAAACAAACAGTTGAATCTTTTTGTTCAGAAACTATCAAAACCAGCTGTTTTGACATTTTGAAAACACTTTCCCCCTACATTTTTTAAACGAAATATTGCAATCTGTAGTTTTGTGAAAAAATTTGGCTTTGACAAAATGGCATTTTTCAACAGAAAACTGTTGTGACAAACATTTCCCAACCACCCTGTAGCCTGTTGTAGGGGAAACAAGAAAAAAGAAACAAATGTTGTAAAGTCTCCAGGAGAGAGCACAGTGTGTCTTGTTTCATAACATGCTGCAGCAACTCTGAACAAAAATGGCAGCTGCTGAACTCAGCCTGCAGAGAAAGCTCTTAGAAATTTAAAGGCATAGGATGCAGAAAATTAAAGGCATCAAAGTTTCATAAGTGCATGCACAGCTCGCAAAGCTTTTAGTAGGTCATTGGGAGTGTGTGGGGGTCATTTCAGCTACCGCTGAAATATGGCTGCAGATAAAGGGCAGATGGGAAGGGACTGCTCTTCTGTGCCAATGAAGCACCATCCCCTGGAGTTGCTGGTACTAGTCCCCACTGAACAGAGCAATGGACCACATGAACCCATGGTCTGATCCAATGTGGCAGTTCCTGGGTTCCTGTGCTGTGTGCCGAGTCTCTTTTGGTAATAGCGAGCTGTTCATTGAAACATTTGTATTAGGATAATTATAACAAATGGAGAACAACAGGTCTCCAGGGCCAAATTCAACCATTGGTGTAACTGAAATGGGGGTTTGGCCCCTCATGCTTTGGGGAGCCGAGTGTTTTGTAAGACAGGCATGGTCCACATGTTAAATATCACAGACACAACAGCCAGTTATACACCTGGAAGGAACGGGAACTAGAATCCCTTCAGTTTCCCCACGCCAAATCACTCAGGCCTTTGCTGCTTAAGCTACTGGAAATATTGCCCAGCTGGTAGCAATAATTGGTCTTTTATCTTCTGTGCCGGCTGGCCTATAGAGGGTGACATGAGCATATGTAACCCCCCGGTCAGTGTATGCTACATGTCACCCTTTGCACTTGATACACAGAGGATGCTACAGCTCTCAATATGTGAGTCTGGCTCTGTAGTGCACGCTTTTAGCCCTGGAGATCCCCGGTGTGTCGACCAAGATGGCAGCTGTCACACTAGACTCATTAGGAGATCCCAAACGGCGTCCACAGTGAGTATATGAAGTAAAGCTTGGGGAAGGGCAGTCGCTGAATCCTCAGGAAGGTCTGGCTACCTCTCGCCATAGAGGGGAGAGGGGAATAAATGTGACCCCTGATTTCCCTTTCCATGACGCAGAAGCCCCAGGCCGAGGAATCAGACAGGCGCACCTCCCTTCTTTGTGCTGCTGGTGTTTATTTTGGGTTTGTTTTTAATCCCTACGGTTCAACTTTACAAAGTCCTCACGCCGATACATTGGTTTATGTATAAAATATGTACAGGAAAACACTGCAGGAGCCATCGCGCCCTCTAGAGCCGGGCCGCGCGAGTGAAAGAGTGCTCCTCTCCTTGGAGGGGGGCGATAGGATCGAGAAATGTAACAATTTCCAAGTACATGAGCAAATATTTACAGGTGCCAAGACAAAAAAATATATCTCCAGTGTCGTCTCCAGGAGAGCTGGGAGCAGCAAAGCCCCCCTCACAGCTCCATTTGTTATATTGATTTATAAAGACTATGTATATCGATTTTCACAGGCCGTGCGTCTGCCAAGGATGCACAGCTCCGACTTTCACTTGTGCTGGCAAGGGGTCGCAGAGACCGCTCCAGCCATGGATTTTGACGCTCTGTGTTCTGCAACGTTATGGAACGATGCCTCTGAAACACTCCCGTGAGCTAGAGTAAATGCCACACAAATGTGGAGTCCATTCCAGGTGAGGGGCGGGGGGGGAATCCAGTCTGGGATTTCTGTGCCCGCCTGGAATGGATCCAGCTGGGGGATGCGCAAGTAGTTAGAGCTTCTAATGGGATTTGGTGGTCAGAATGGCTTGTTAGAATGGGATGCCTTTGAATAGCCATGAAAGGTAGCTAAGCCGGGTGTGAAGTTAAAGGCAGTGGTCACCAACTGCTGTTCACTGATTCATTGTAACACAACTGAAAATGCTGATCTCTAAACTAAACCCTGATGCCAGTGAACAGCAAAATCCCCACTGATCTGAATGGGACTGGGATTTGTCCCCCCATGTCTCCAAGCTTGTGGAGAGCGTAATGTGGATTAAATCTACAGCTGGGCAAGGGTTTCCCAGTACTTTAGCTTGAGGCACTGGGAAAAACCCTGCTCTACTTGAGTCTGGAGCTGGCTTTGCATTGCATCAGCTCTGCTCTGCTTGGAAATGGTGCAGAGGGAGGTGTGCTGCCCTGCATGCAACCTCTCCAGTCCTCCTGCAACAGCCTGAGGTGCAGCCAGGCAAAGAAACAAGGTAGCTTCCCTCCCGGCCCCTCTGTGAGTGAGAGGATGGGGAAGATAGTAAGGAACAGAGAGGGAATTACAGACCACAGAAACCTGCTGTTGTGTTCCATTGCCGCTTCCGACCAAGGAAAGAGCATAATGCCAGTAACCATGAGCTCTGGGGAGAATGCAAGGGATGGATGGATGTCTTCCCGTCCTGCATCCACTCACGCACACGCTTTCAGACCCGCATGCATGCAAGTGCTTATACCTGTGCATGCATGTATTCGTAGACTTTTGTATACCCACGCAATGTTGGTATGTGCTCACATGTACTCGTGTCGCTACATACACCCAGTGCGCAAGCGCTTTAGGGAGGGGGTTTAAAGCTAAACCAGCGTTTGCGCTCCCCATGCTCTTCCTACTGGGCTGTCTTCCAGGATCTGCATTATTGCTGAGCTGGACTTTCCCTCTTGCACGGAATCATTTGCCGTGGTGCCTGATGGTAAATACACCAAAAAATCCTGCAATTCTCTGACCATTGAGAGCTATCACCTCTCTGCTAGCAAGTTATACAGCTGGCACAACTGTAGGAGAGCGTGGTACCCACAGCTGCTCCCACTAGCATTGATCCTGAATTATCACGGTCCGCTCTAGTGGACTGAGAATGAGAATGGGAGCCAGGAACTCCTGACGTCTAATCCCAGCTCTGCCACTGACTCCTTCTGTGGCCTTGGTCACATCACTTCACCTCTCCATCTTGCCATCTCTGCAATGGGTATAGTGATGCACAACCCAAATGGGGTGTTGTTTTAGAAATGGAGCCACAGCAGCAGCCATTGAGGACTGAAGCAGAGCTAAGAAATGATGCTGCCGACTTGTTCTAGTTCTAAAAACACCCATCAAGCACCAGGGTGCTGGACAACTTCCCCTCTGTTGTTGTATGTTACCACTAGGGCTATTTCACTTCATGTGACACAAGCTGCATCACAGAGTGTGACCCATGGGCAGCACAGCTCAAGGGGTTAGCTTCTGGGGCCACTCTTTCACCAAAACTCTTCAGCCCCTGCCAACCTAAATCACGCTTTATTTCCTTAAATCTATGTGCACAAGGGGGCGGGAGGTCATGAACAAGTGAGCACAAAGGTCTGCACAAGTTGTTAATGGCTTTGCGTGAGTGTGTGCAGTAGGGCGTGCAAGGGTTTGCGTGAGAGGGCTTAGAATTCATTAGTTGATATTTGCACGGGTGGCTGCTTGCACAAGTGGTTTGCATATGCACAAGTGAGCCTTTGCATAAGTGGGTTCCGTATGTGCACAGCTGTTTGCAGGGAGGGGTCACATTCAGTATCGACACCGCTATTTTCACAGGGGAGGACTCTCCTGTGCACACCTGAGCAGGTGTAATATGTGATGACGGAGTACAAGGGAGTAATCGCATGAGACAAGTTCGTGGACCAGAGGGTACGTGGGTGCATCACTTTCTACTTCTTGATCCCAGAGCGTGGCAGGTCCCCCAAGTTCAAACTGTCCATGGTCTATGCTGGTGACACTTGACTGGAGGAGACAGAGGATACCTCAGTCTTGCTCTGGGATACGGTTGAGGAGACATCATCATCCCCAAAGGGGTTCTTGCCGCAGCAGATTGTGGTGATCATGCAGTTACGGAACTGAAGGGAGAGAGAAAGCAGTGGCACGTTTGCACAGCACATACATCCACGATGGCCAGTGGAGCCGTCCTTCTGATCACCAGACAAAGAGCACTTTGCTGGGTTACATATAACACCTCGCCCACTACAGAGATGCTACCATCCCTGTGGCGAAACGTGGCAGCTGTTCCAACTGCACAGACAGCGCTAAACAAATTAAGGCAGAAAGCGACAGGTACCAGATTCAACTGGAATTGGTTCTAGGACTGGAATAGCGGGGGGGGGGGGTGCTATTAGGCAGGAGGAAGATGCATCTGCACAGCTGTGGTGAAGCTCACGACTGGAGTAGCAAGAAGACTGCAGGTCAGGATCAAGGTGCATTGGCAGCACCAACACGGGACTGGGATAATAGAGGGGCTGTCGGTTGGGATTGAGGTGCGTTGGCAGAGCTGGGGGTGTCCCAGGGAGTGGAGTAGCAGGGGTGCTGTAGGTCAGGATCAAGGTGCATTTGGAAAGCTGAGTAGAGGGAGACGAGGGATGGAATAGCAGGGGGGAAGCTGCAGGTCAGGACTGAGGTGCATTGGCTGGGGACGCAGAACTGCGAGAGCAGGGGTGCTATAGGCCAGGTTCAGGGTGCGCCCTGAGAGTTCTGGGGGAGGCCTAGGACAGGAACAGAGCTTTGGCTCTGGGAGTCTCACCTGTTTGTTCATGAGGACATAGATGACGGGGTTGTAGAGAGAGGAGCTCTTGGAGAAGAAGGCAGGCACTGACATGAGAGTAGCGGAGAAGTCCGCCCCCTTGTTGGTGAAGATCCAGAACGCCACCAAGGCATAGGGCGTCCAGGCCATGAGAAAGCCCAGAACCATTAGGATCACCATGCGGGTCACCTCCCTCTCCGCCTTCTGGGTGCTCGCCGACTCCTGCTGCTGCGCGGCTGCCTGCGGGAGTAGGAGAGGGCAGTGAGGCAAGGAGCGCATTGCAGTGCTGAGCTGTCTCCCACCAGCCAAACTAGAGAGAACTAGATACCTGACATGGCTGGAGTCAGGGAACAGGGAGTAGGTCTGAACCCCTTTGCTGGGAAAGCTGACCCCTGGGCCGAAGACGTTTCAGTTCATATTGTATTATGCCCAGAAGGGATCAAAATCACTGCACAGAACATGGATGAGATCCAGGGGCAGGGACCCGCTCCACTGCTCAGAACCTGGACTAGATCTGGAGCACAGACTAGATTTACACATGGAGCGGCTCACACCCAAGGCAGCATAAACCCAGTCATAAAGTGCAGCTGATAAACTCTCTTACCTGGAGAAAGGAGAGGCTGAAACAGGCGCACACCTGCCCTGCTTTGTGCTTGCAGAGAATCATCCCTGCTTTCGATCCCCCTGTGAGGCCCTGAGCCCCCTCCTGCCCGCTGATAAATTATGGGTGTGACGTTTTACATCTCTTGCCTCTTTGCTAAGCCTGGGCCTGTCTCCAGAGGAGATGGGGGAGTGAACAGAGATAACACCGGGGGTGATTCATAGATTCCAAGGCAAGAAGGGACCACTGTGATTGTCTAGTCTGACCTGGTCAAACACATGCGGGCTGGTATTGCCCATCAGATGGTGCTGCTGGTGCTTCAAGGAGCCTGTTCTCCAGCTGAGGACCAACACCTTCTACCCCCTCCCCCCCATGCTCGTTACCTCTCTTCACCAAACCCTGAGCAGCTCGACGCATACTCTACCTCTCGGACTTTGCATATGAGCCGCCCATAGGAGAAGAAGATGACCACCACCGGGACGACGAAGTGGACCATGAACATGTAGACAACGTAGGATTCGTTGTGGTAGTCGGGGTTGAGGGTGTAGTAATCTGGGCCACAAGAGCACTGCATGCCCTCGGGAATGTATCTGCCGAATGAGAGCGCAAGCGAAGCAGAAGGGTTAGGTCGCGCATTTCACAGGGGCCCCCCATGTGTGACCTTCGGATGGGCCTGGGTTGAAACTGGTGAGGTGACCTAGAGTTAGGGTGACCAGATGTCCCGATTTTATAGGGACAGTCCCAATATTTGGGGCTTTTTCTTATGTAGGCTCCTATTACCCCCCACCCTCTGTCCCGATTTTTCACACTTGCTATCTGGTCACCCTACCTAGAGTCTCTGTGTCTGCAGCAAGATGTCTTGCCCATGGGCTGGAGAGCCTGCGGCTAAGCCAGCCCTTGATTACAAGATGAGCCCACAGGAGAGCAACCAGGTGATTCCAGTATAAAAGGCAGCAGGCACCTGCAGGCAGGGTGAGTTTGAGAGAGTAGCTGAGACTGCCAGAGGCAGGAGGAAGCCTGGCAGTAACCCGGGGAAGCCCAGAGCACAGGAGGTTGTGTGGTGCTGGAGCTGGTGGAAGAAGCCATGCAGAGAGCACGCCTGGCTCTACAGAGCCCGAGCCAGGTAAAGCCTGTGAGTGGGCGTTGAAGAAGGGAAGGTGGGGAACTTTGTGTGCGTTTGGACTTTTGAGTTCTGGTTTTGGACAAACTCCATTGCCAGCCTGAGGAGAACCGGGGAAGAGTGAATTCAAAGGTTCACTGGAGCCTGATTGAGTTCTTAGCGGGGCTTGGATGAAGGGGAAGTAGAGGCGGAACAGTCACAGAGGCAAACCTCGCCACGATGGGGCGCTGGGCAGGCAGTGAGCAGCCGCGGGGCTGAATTAGCAGCTCCCTGAGCCTCTGAGAATGACAGCACCAGCCAAAGCCAATGGCGCTGTGACCAGGCATTGCGTGTGCTCCTTCCAAATTTCTCGGCCCATGCCCTTCAGTCCTGACCTGCAGCCCCCACCCTCTGCTATGCCAATCCTGAGCTCCCCACACCCAGCTCTGCCAAGGCACCCCCGCTGGCCTATCGGTGTGAGGCAGAGGTGCATGCTTCCACATGGGGCTCTGCTGAGCCTGCTGCACTCCTTCCCTGGGTGATGGGAGCCGCGGCGAAGCGCCGTGCCCCAGTGCCAGGCAGCCCGGGAGAGGATCACGCAGGGGCAGTGATTGATTCAGGAGAAGGCGGCGTGTTTGCCGTTTGCTCTGCGCTGACTCATTGCACTTGGACATGTAGACATCAGTTGGTTGTGACAGACGCTCCCTCCCATGGGGAGCAGGCTGTTTATTCCTGTCCCTACACGGCTGAGCATTTGGTTGCCAGGTGCCACCTGCTCTTTCTCCTGAGGAGCAGAGATGACAGGGAACCTACTATGGCTCAATGCAGGTATGAGCTCTGAGATGTCCTGGATTCCCTGCTGCTGAGGGGTCGTGTCCCTGACCATCTTGGCTAATAGCCATTGATGGACCTATCGTTAGCGCCTGCTTAAATTTTTGCCTGTAGAATAAGATTCTTTCCATAGGCTTTTCAGAGCATCCTATAGAATTCAAAATTCTATAGGAAGGATTTTGGTTTTAATTAGACCTATAGGATGGATCTCGTCCTTTATGAACTCCCATAGGACTTCAGAGTAATATTGGTTGTGGGTCAAGCTTGGGTTGTGGGCGGAGCTAAATGGACCCCTGTTACATTTCTGCAGCATCCTATTGGTTTCATCCCTAGTCAGTTCTTTAGTGCTTTTCTGTAAAGAGAGAGATTTGCGGTGGGGGGGATGTGTCCCAAACTAAAAACCCCTCTGATATTTCTTAGTTTATCAGATTTGGGGTTTCTATGACTCAAAAGCAGCTTTGTTACTTTAATAGCTAATGTCCTGATCCCTGCAGAGTCACGTAAGTAAATTGACTTCAGTGGGTTTGCTGCCAGGAGTAAATGTAAGTCTTTTTCAGGACCAGGTCCCAAATTTGTGCAGCAGGAGGGCTGTGGCGAGGACAGTGGCCTTACCTGTGCTGGAGGGGAAACAAGTGAATTCATGTGAAAGGCGCCAGATTGTCAGCCCTCCGTAATGCTCAAGTCCTGTGTCTATCCGCAGAGCCTATACAACAGAGGCGTCCCATACTGTGCTTCAGTCCTGACCGCCCAGCTCCTGGCCAACATGATATTCGGGCTCAACTTGAAACGATAGGGTCCACGCCACGTGTCCTCTTAATCTTAATTCATTGGCTTAACTGGGATTTACTGTCATATGTAAGGATTAGCACTGGGCGCTGCCGTTGCAGGATTGAGCCCCTAACTCTTCTTCACTCCGAATTCTGCTCTAGCTAGGTTAGTCTGCAATGACTGCTGGAATGGGGACAACCGTGTGCACAGCTGGCTCCCCAGAGGAAAATACAGCTGTTTGACGGAGCGCAGCTGGTGGCCTATGGCATTAGACAATTGCATTACGAGCAGACCGTGCTTCCTCCGAGCTCACAAGCAAGTACAGAGAGTCTCGTCTCTGCTTAGTGGCCTGGGCAGCTTTGTCCCTTCCCGTCTGCGGTAGCGAGCAAAGAGTATGTAGGTCTGTATTTGCCCTTGCCACGGTTAGTTCTCACTTCCTATGGCTGGGCCGATGCACAGAGCTTTTGGGACAGGAACATCAGGGGAAGGCGTTGCAGGTCGGGATTGTGGTGTCCCAGCAGAACTCTGTGTGGGACTCAGAACTGGAATAGCAGGCGGTGATGTTGGGCCAGAATGAAATGCATTGACAGAGCTGGGGTGAAACCTGGACTATCAGGAGATGCTGAAGGTCAGGACTGAGGTGACGCATTAGCAGCGCTGTGTGTGGGGAGTCTAGACAGGAATAGCAGAGGGGGCTGTAAGGTAGGATAGAGGTGCTTTGGCAGAGCTGTGTGAGGAAGCTTGTAATGCCCAGATGTGGGAAGTTACATTTTCAGGAGGATCCCAAAGCTCAGAGTCTGATTCTCCTCTCATTAGCACTGGCATAAATCAGGAGTAAGTCCATTTAAGACAGTGGCATTATCCCAGTATAAACCCAAGGTACACAGATCAGGTTCAGATCCATAATTGCTTTTCCTCCCTTGGTATCCTGCTATTAATTGATTTATCTTGTTAGACTGACCTCACACTTGGTAAAGCAACCCCCATCCTTTCATGTATTTATATCTGCTCCTGTATTTTTCACTTCATGCATCTAATGAAGTGAGCTGTAGCCCACGAAAGCTTAGGCCCAAATAAATTTGTTAGTCTCTAAGGTGCCACAAGGACTCCTCGTTATAATTGCTTCTGTGCTTCAAGGGCTCACGCATAGGGGCGCACGTGGGTATTTGGGAGTCGAGTATTTAGACAGCGGTCTTTGTCCGGATGGTGTCAATACTGTCTGTGTTTCGTATTACTTACCTGGACCAGCCAAATAGGGGTGGAGCAGCGCAGGAAAAGGCCATTGCCCAGGTAAAACTGATGCCCATCAAGGCATGGGTGGCAGAGAAGCGGAAGTTGCCCATGGGCTTACACACCACGATATAACGCTCTATGGCCAGGACGACCAGCGACCACAGGGCAACCTGACCTGGGGGAGAAAGAGACAGACAGAGCAATCTAACATGAGTGAGCTGTTAAAGGACTTGGGACAAGAACTTGTCTAAACCTGCTCTTATCTGAACCGAGGGGAAGCATAGTCTGGTGGGTACAGTACCGGACCAGGAGTTGGGTCACGGGGCTGAATTGGGTCACGGGGCTGAGTTGGAACTGGTACCCTGCAGCCTCCCCATCTCACCGTTCCTTGAGCAGAGTCTGCCTTTACTCTGCCTAAGAGTCTGGCCCCAAAATGGCCATATAAAGCACCCAAGGGCCAATATGAGTTTCTAAATGTCTTGTTTAGGGCCCTGGTCATTTGTCATCCCCTAAAGTCAATGAGTCAAGTCTCAACCTGGTGTAAGGAAGCGCGGCTCAAGGCGTGAACCCTCGCTTGCACCATGTCCGAACCTGTCCTGATGGTTCTAAGAGTCTAAATGGGTATTTGATATGTGTCCCCGCTGCAGGAGAATGAGCCCGGGCAGGTGCTGGTGTGTTTATTTATCAAAGGATAATCAAACCTTAGGGGATTATGAGCCTTTAGCCTGTGCCATAAGCCTGTTAATGCCCCCAGCATGTGCTCATCCGCTGATAGCTACACCCTCTGCTCAGCTTTCATGAAGAACGGTAACTCTTGCTGCTTCCCTTTAGTATAAATTTTCTTCTTCCTTTCCCCCCACAGTTGGGACCCTCCTTGTTCTCGCTGGGCAGAAATGGAAAGCCTGGATAAGACGGAGGGCCTGAAAAAGCGTGAAAGGTTAAAAGCTGTTGTCAGGCACAGAGATGGGGCCTTTTCACTGAAGGAATTAGTGATGACACTAAGTGGTCCTTCTTCTGCTCCCTAATATAGACCCGGCCCCATTTCCAATCCCTGGCATAGACTGGATTCATTGAGCCTCTTTTCCTGGTGGCAGGAATATCCCCATTGCCTCAAATGTATTCAGGAGTGAAAATTACCCAGTGAATTTTTAACCTTTTTTTTTAAACTCCTGGCATTGATTGCAAACTGTTCCCTTCAAGAATTTGCTCTCTGAGCTGTGTTCGGTTGGCCGGATAAGTGACCAGGTATCCTCTCTCTTTGCTGGTCGGATGAGCGCAGAGATGTAAAATTAATTCATGCTGCTTGGAAATGGACTTTTTTTTGCAAGCAGTTGTGCCACTGAGATTCGATCGCAACCCTGCCTGCAGGAGTGAAAGATCAAAAAGCCACGAACATGGTCAGATCAGCTGGGTTTGAAAACGCTGCCGGATAGTCATTGGAAAATCTCTGCACTACTTGCACAGCTCTGCTCAAAAATATAGACTGAACCCTGGTTCCACTCCTTGAGACTGACCATGTCATTTTTCCTCTTCTTGAGAACAACCACATCTTCCTTCAGCTCCCTGATACACACTTAATCCTCACTCTGCTCCCAGATTTAGACCTTTCCTCCTCTTTCATAAGCACCAAACTCCTCTTCTCTAGCCCAGAGGAGACTCCTTTTCCCTTCCCAAATACAGATGGGATCATTCTATCCTTCGCTGATACTGATCGGATCTTCCTTCTCCTCCCAAATACTGACCTGCCCCTTCTCTTGTATAAAAAACCTGCCCTTGCTCCAAACTGCAGCATCCTGCTGTAAGATGCATTGTTTTGGACCATTGATTTTATGTAACAGTGATAGCATCTTCCACTGGGAACCTGGGACAATTTTATATGCTCCTGGAGTCTTACTGTTTCACCAAACATTTTTTGTATTTCCCATGACAGCCCTGGTTATCGATGTCTTCCATTTCTCCACGGAACTGGAACAACGTGGGGTAAGTTTCCCAGGCGCTGTTCCCCATTCTAAAAGAACCACCCTAAGGGAATTTCAGTCTCTTGGACCTTTTTAGTCCTTGACCCTTCTGCTGAGGCTACCGACAAGGGGGCCCAATTAAGGTTGGTTGTGATGCTGCCTGCCGGGGGATAAAGACCCACCTATCCACCCATTTGACGCAGATCGCTGACTTGGACGCCGATGTGGTACTAATGTCTGGCCGGGTTTGACATGACTGGCATAGCCCAGGAGGTGAAAGCCTTCATATTAGAGGGCAGTATTCAAACCTGGGCATCTGCATTCAGGTGCTCAGTTCTGTACATGAGTGCTCCCAGCAGCACTGCAGATGCTCAAATGCACATGTTAGCTACCTAAACCAGATAGTTCCAGGTCAGACTGTGGAAGGAAGAGTCATTTTCAGTCAGGCTGCCAATGACTGACCTGCTGGGAGGGACTTCTGCACAATATTCAGCAGGGCTTATTCTAAACGGTGGAGGATCTTGCCAAGACCATGGCAGTTTCCAGATTAATCTCAAGATGTGCTTGACTTTGTGTGGACCCTAGCGATGGGCTCAAACCCAGCCCTTCCCAATTCAAACACCCCTGAACTTTGGGTCCCAGATCCTTAGCTGAACTTTGCAGCTTGGGCTGATTTCTTTTCATTGCCGCTTTTCTGAAACTCCTGACGTGGTTGCTGTCGTCACGGGCTTCCAGGACAATTTTTAAAAGTCCCCAATCTATTTTGCGCACAGCTCGTAGCTTGTCATTGGGCTGGTTCTCAAGTCACTGTGCCATACTGATGTGGTACCTTTGCATTACAATGCTACATCACCCTTCCGGGAGTGGCATAATGTACTGATGCCACATAGGGCATGTCTACACTGCAGTTAGGGGCTGTCATAGCTAGCTCAGGTGCCAGAGCAGTGAAGCCATGGCAGCACGGGGCTGTACAAACCTGCCCGGAACCCTGGGTAATTACTTGCATGTCTAGCCCGTGCTAAAACATGCAGTGGCTAGCCCACTAGTGCAGCCAAGCATGTTTCAATGGGGAGAAACAGATTGAATGCAAGTCATCTGCCTGGACAGCATGCTTCTAACTGGAAATAAACCCAGGGCAAACTAGACCTTCCTTCCTCCAGCCAGGCAAGCGCATGCCTGATTCCCCCTTCCCTGCCCACCCTCAGCTCCCCCCCCCGCTGAGCTCTTACCTCCCAGTGTGGCAAAGAAGCCCTCCACGGCACAGCCTATGGGCCCGAAGATAAAGTAGCCGTTCCAGGCCGTGTAGAAGGTGACAGTGAAGCCAAAGCAAGCCATGAAGAGATCAGCCACTGCCAGGTTGACCAGGATGTAGTTGAGTGGCTGCCGCAGCTTCTTGTGCTTGAAAGTGACAAGGAGGGTGAGGAGATTGATGGGGAGCCCGGTGAAGATGAGAAAGAAGATATAGCAGCACACGATTCGGTACTTCCAGGGTTCGGCTAGGTAATACTGTGGGTACTCAAAGGGGCTCCGCACCAGCCCTGTTTTATTGGAGAGCGGCACATAGAAATTGATACCTTCTGTCCCGTTCATCCTTCTTTAGTTTAGCAGCTGCTCTTTATTATTTAATTGTTTCTGTCTTTTTTCAGAACCAATTTAATTTTATTGTCAACCTCAATAAAAAAAAATCCCCCCACCCCCAACAGAAATCCTTAAGAGAATGCAGAGCTGGTGTGGTGTCCCTCATCTACATCCCAGGGCTGGCAGCGCCAGGATCCCATGGGGGTTTTTATATCCTTCGCCCACTTCTGCTGGAGTGGAGGAGGGAGTGAGGGTGGGAGGGGAGGATTAGGGTCTAGGCTAAGTTTGTATGACAAGGACAACGGGATTGAGAGGGGTTGATGGTTTAAGCGCCCTCTAAGCAGCTAGTTGGCCCCAAAACCTGCCTTAAGGCGTATTAATTTCCATTAAGTGTTTAATATCTTTGAAGGAATTTGGTTTATTTGGAAGTGAGGTGAGGCAGGAACAGAGCGGTAAATTGGCAGGTGGTAACCAGGAAAGAATGATAGGTAGGTAGAACGGTATAACGGAGACAGGAGTATTGGAGAGGGATTTCTGTACCCACTTGAATTCGACCTAAATGGTAGCCCTTGTGACTGCCCAGTAGCTAAGAAGGTGAGCTGGTCAAATTATGTGAGCGGAAGGATGGTTCGGGAGTTAGTGCACTGGCTTCAGACTTGGGAGACCCAGGTTAAATTCCCAGATCTGTCACCGACACCCCATGTGTCCGTGGCCAAGTCACTTAGTCTCTTTGTGCCTCACTTTCCCATCTGTACAATGGGTTCTGTTCCACAGGGTGGGGCGGGGGGTCTAGTGTCTAGTATAGGGGATGGGGAGTCAGGACTCCTGGGTTCTATTTTTTTACCTGATTCCGGCTTCTGCAATTGTATTTGTTAGTTGCCAATATTCAGCAAATAATTTGGAAAAGCAATTTCTGACTGCTGGGTTGTTTGTAATCTGCTTGCTTGGACTGTTCAGTATTTGATATTTGCTGTGTGTGGTTGGTCACTTAAGTCGCATGGTATTTTTTCTGCTCCCTGACTGGCTTGCTGTCTGAAACTTCAGACAGAAAACAATGACTCTCATCCTTCCAATGGTCAGATTAATAATTGTTCATGCTAAAATTGGTGAAATGTATGGGTTTCATGAATATCTGAATACTCAAACAGTACAAGTTGTGCTGTAATAGTGAACTGGATTCTGAGCAGAATCAGGTCCTCTCACTGCAGGTTCTGGCCTCATAAAAGGGACGGCTGAAGCAGCAGCACTTGAATTTTGAATCATAGCTGCAGCGCTTGGCAAACCTGAACCCACACCCAAACTGGGTCACAATGGAATGGCATCTGCATAGGTGCCTTGGAACATTGCAACATTAAATGTACTTGGGTCTCATCATCAGCTTTGGACATGTCCACATGTTGGAAAGCAACCAGCCTTCTTCTTTTGCAGGACTCTTCTTGACCAGCCACTCCTGTCCCGGGCCAGCTCCTGCCTACCCTTCAGGAGGAAGTTATTATCATTGTTATTTATTGGGGTGTGTTGTGATAGCATCTACTAGCCCTAATTATGCCCAGGAATCAGTTGTGCTAGGCACTGTACAAACACAGAGCAAAAAGACTGTCCCTGCCCCAAAGAGTTTATAGTCTAAATAAGTACTGGGGTTTCTAGGCTGACGTCTCAACTGAATTACTTTGTAAGCCAAATGCTGTTGCGATGCCAGGCTGCCAAATGGAACTAGCAAGAACAAATGGAGATGGTTCTGCTGGGCTTTCATTTCCATGCAGTCCTTTCTCACAGCCCATGCTGCAGCTTAGCTGGGAGGTGGATTGCACAGGGTCTTCATTGCAATTAGGTTTCTGAAGTATGTAACTGAATCTGATCCTCCACTTGGAAAACCCTAGTGCTTTGAAGGGATATAGTGACTGGGAAGCGTCTCCTCCTTCCACTTTGCATGGTGGGCTGAATGTATAACCCTGTCTCCTCACCCTCCTCCTGCCCTGCCTTGGGGATGAGATTTTTTTAAAAAGGATATCATGGAGCCAGATCCATTGACTCATTCCGCACAGACCCCTGGAGGAACAGCTACCAGAGGGTAATTCATTCCATTGCCTACTGGAGAGTTGTTGAACCAGAACCCTGGGCATGTTCAGCTCCGAATCCAAACTTTGTAGTTTGGGACCATCCCTGTCAGATGGATCTGAACCAGAATTCCAGCTCTGAACCTTCTCAGATTTTACAGAAGTTTGAATCTGGATCAGAACTACATGGCTAAATCCCTAAGCATTTCCAAACTGGCCTGGATTCAAACCAGTGATTTAGAAGTGAAAAACTCTATAGGCCATTTCCCATGCCCTGCCCTATCATGTCATTTTGCCCTGGAGATTCCGAGGACCATCTCTTCAAAGAGATACATGCCAAGAAGCGTGCGCATGACCTGGGTGCAGAACCCCCAGCACATCAAAGTCCCAAGCATGCATTTGCACGTGTGTTATTAAAAGGGTTGGTTCATATGTTAAATCCCCTTGAGCCAAACAGTCTGTAACCTGAATTTTAATGAAAATGTTTTTGGTTTGTCATTGGTAGAAGGATCATATCTTCCCAGGTCAGGAACAGGAGAGCATTGTGAAGTCAGTTAAGTATCACTGTCTCCATTTTACAGATGAGTAAATCAGGGTGTATTGAGTCATCACAATGAATTGTTATCACAGCTGGGAATAGAACGCAGGAATCCTGACTTCCATGCCCAGTCCCACCTGTTCTCACCAGTAGGTCACATATCCTCCCAGCTGTGGAAATAGAACTCAGAAGTCCTGACTCCCAGTCCCGTTGTGCTGAAACCCTAGAGAACACTTTATTTAAATGGGGATAGGCCAGTGGTTTTCAACCTTTTTTCATTTGCAGACCCCCTAAAACATTTCAAATGGAGATGTGGACCCCTTTGGAAATCTTAGACATAGTCTATGGATCCCCAGGTGTCCATAGACCACAGGTTGGTTGAAAACCACTGGTATAGGCAGTAGATGACTCCTGTTGTCTCTGACACACCCAAGTGGCCTGATCCTGCTGGAAGTCAATGGCAAAACTCCCATTGTGGTCTATAGTCGCCTCCACTTCTCCCTGGAGGTGCAGTAAAGGTCACCAGGTTTCCCAGTGGTGCCTCCCTTCATTCCTGCACTCTGCTCCCCTTCCCAGGCTTGGGAAGCCAATCAGTCTCACAGCTTTGCAAGGACTGGGGGCAGCCAGAAACTGGGACTAGGCAACAGGGGATGGATCACTCGATAAATTGCCCTGTTCTGTTCATTCCCTCTGAAGCACCTGGCATTGGCCACTGTCGGACAACAGGAAACTGGGCTAGATGGACCATTGGGCTGACCTAGTATGGCCGTTCAAGGAGGCTCCTTGGCCACAGTTCTAAAACCAGCTTGACAACTTGCTGTTATTTGTTCAAGAAGTGGTGACTGGGGAAGGGGAAAGCACTGTGGTGGCCTCCCAGCCTGTCCCCTTTTCCTGGCGTGGCTCAGTTGGCCACATTAGGTGGTTTATAAAATTCATAACAACATACTGGCCAATTACAAGTCCTCAGGTCTTTCTGGCTCTGCTTCCGCTCCTTGACCTGGGCTGCCCTGCAAGAACCTGTCTGGTCTACAAGTATGCCATGGCAAGGCAATAAGATGGTTGAATTAACCCAGCTGGGTCTTTCCTGGCCTCTTTGACTCATTCCAGAAACTGCAGCTACAGTGGGTCAGCATTTAATTTTGCAGAAAGCTGGCATATCTGTCAATCTATGTCCATATATGTTTGTCTGTCTGTGCTCATCGCCATGTTATCTAAGCATGGGAAAACACACCACCAGATTCCACAGGAACCTAAATACCTAATTATTTGTGTTTTGTTTTTCTTGGGCTATTTTCTATTTTTGCATCGGGGATGAAATATTGTATGTGTCACCCAGATTTAGGCAGGTGTGAGTCCGAGTCCCACTTTAGTGTCTAGTCCATAGAGGAGAACAAGTCTACTACAGCTGCTAGCTAAAGGAGTTGCTCCGTTAGCAGTAGTGGCTTGTGTTTTTAGTGCTGAAGAGCCAGGGTTCAAACCCTGTTGTCATCCCAACCATGGTCATCATATACGTTCCGCACTTGGCTGAGTGCCCCCAGGTAAAGTATTGCAGATGGTGGAAATGCAGTGACAAGGACCAGCTCTCATATTATTTCAACCCTGAGGCAGAGAAAAGCCATGGAGCTCCACAGCCGACCAAGGGTTCATTTAGTAGACTTGGGCGGACACGGTACTGGAGCGTTATGATTGTTTAATGGTTATATTACAGCACTGCCTGGAGAGGCATCAGCCAAGTCAGGGCTCCAAGCTCCAGGGCTGTACAAGAATTGACGGCCTGACTCCCGCTGGGAAGAGGAAAATACTATTTGCACCAGCTGCTAAAAACCTACCGACTATAGACTGACTCCCCTGGAACTGGGTGCAGGCTGTCCCCAGTGCCTGGAATGCTGGTAGCATCCCTACCTGCCTGGTAAATGCCTGCTTGGGTGCTATTCAGAACTGTACCCAGGCAGGGAGAATGGACAGCTGGAGAGGCTGGTGCATGATCCACAATGAGGAGGTGGCTGTTTGGACAGGAGAGGGTCTGGAGATGGCGTGAGAGAGAGTGGCAAGAAAAAGTGTGGCTGCTCCACACTCAAACTGCGGGAGCAAGTGGGAAGGAAAGGACGGTTTCACCCTGACTCCTCAGTGCTGAATTTGGGTCAAGGGGAAGTTACGTCGCTCTGTGAAATCCGTCAGAACTGGGTCAGAACTACCCCCAAACTCATATGCTCCCTTCCTTGTCCGAGCTGGATGCTGGACGCTGCTGCAATGGGAGAACTGCCTAAGGCTTCTTAGCAGAGCTCTCCCGCTAATCTGTGACATATGGTGGCGTACATGACCCTGATCTGTTAATACTGTAAGCTTCGGTCCCTTCCCCCCCACCCGCCCTCCTCAGAGATGAGGTGGATGGAAAAAGTCAACATCGTCTCTGTGGA